TTACTTAATGAAGTTGTTGCTTCATTTTCATTTTAGAGATTTTTTTTTTCAATAAATAAGCTAACTATTTTTTAGAAAGAGTAGAAACAATCCTGGAGCGTGTTGTTCAGGAGAATGCGTCGATGTTCCCCATCGATTGCAACGAATAACCGAATTCATGAACCATTGACAGAAGCTGAACTTCGGTCACGTACAGTTATTACACCTGAGGATGTGCTACGTCTTAATAAAATCACAAATGGTTTTGTTTCAGTTCTGTTTTTTAATTAGCTTTGAAATTTATTTGAAATAACTTAGAACATAAATTTAGAGACACTTAATCGTTATGTAATAATTATTGTACTATATTTTGTCAGTTTGATAAAAAGCAATTTAATTTAATAAAAATAAAAGAAAAACTTTTTAGTAACTTTTCTGAGACTATTGCAAATTTTTTGTACCATCATTTTGTTGAATTAAAAAAAAATTATTTGATTGTACTTTGATATCAATTCTTTTCTATTTTTCAATCGTGAATCTAATTTTTCTAGTCCTAGATTCTAAATTTACTTAAGGGATGTTTTGATTTTCAGATTATCTATGTCAACCAGATGCAAATATTTATAGTATCGAATTTACTCGATTTAAAATTCGAGATTTAGATACAGATCAGGTTTTGTTCGAAATCGCTAAACCTACCATTGGTAATATATTTATCTATTTTGTCCTTTCTTTACTACATATTCAGTCATTTCACTTTACTTGCTTATATAGTAAATTTCTAAATGTTTGTAGTTGGAGAAAATGAAATTGGGCTTTTTTAAAACTGTGTTTTGTTTTATTCATAATAATTTCTCAAATGCACGATCTCTATTCTTAACATTGGGATCGCTTTTAAAAGATAGATGGCTTCTTTCTCCTTCAGAAGAACTTGATGTCGACGATCTGAGCTTGGTTGCATGTGAAGATGCTAGTGCTGCTCGTTTTGTGCGTTATCAGTTTACTCCTGCTTTTCTACTTTTGAAACGTGTAGGTGCAACGTAAGTTTCTTTTAATGCGTGAAAGTTAAAAAGTTATCTCTGTTCTAAAATTGTCGCTAGTAAATGCTTGGATGTCGATCGAGTAAAATTATCAGTTGCAAAGCAGAAGCTCAAACTTTTCGTTGATATAAGAAGAAAAATTGTGAACTTTTACGAAGAACCAATTCTTTAGAATGGAAATAAATGACTTGCAAATGTTCAGGCTATATGTCAAAATAATATTTCAAGTAATTGCTTCCACCTGTTCTTTCTTAGTTAGCCTTTTCACTTTACTGGTGAAGCTTTAAGCATTAACCTTGTTATTTCAAAGAACTGTGCATAGTATTGATAATTTTAGAGTAGAATTTAATGTTGGTAATAAAGCAGTGAATAAATTTCGCATGATTGAGCGGCATTTCTTCCGCGATCGTTTATTAAAAAGTTTCGACTTTGAATTTGGCTTGTGTATACCGAATAGTCGTAATACTTGTGAGCATATATATGATTTTCCAGAACTTTCCGAAGCACTAAGTTAGTTACTAGTTCATTTGTTTTTTCACAATTATTATATTTTCACTACTTTTCAAATTCAAAATGAAAAAGATGAAATATACATAATCCAGATATTTGCTAATACCGTAGTGAAAATACAAAGTTTTAAAGGTCATTTATAAATAAAACCAAGTTTGAAACCATGAAAGATTAGTTTCATCTTGTAACAGTTGATATCAGAGAAGCTGTTTAATAATTTTGGATGTAATCCTGGAAATTTAGCAAATAATAATAAACAGAACCAGAAATATACGTCACAATTATATATATGATTTATCCAGACCGTTAACATTAGACAAAGACAGTTCGTAAGAAAATGAATTTAATAATTTGTACTAGTTTTTTTCTTTACAGTAAATGAAATGATCTCAAGTCCGTACGAAACACGTTCCGACAGCTTCTACTTCGTAGAAGACCGACTAATTATGCATAACAAAGCTGATTATGCTTATAATGGTGGCGATTGATCTCTAAGATTGCATCTGAATCTTCTTAACTCTTTTGATTTATTCCTGATGACCGTTCACTATTTATCATTTTCTTAAACACACATGATATCTTCCGTAGTTTTCATCGAATATTCAGATAGGTGAAAATTAAGTACAAACCATTTTAAAATAATTTTTGAAGCAGGAGATTATAGACCACAAATCTAAATTATTTAGTATCAGAAGCAACCACCAAATTTTGAAATTTGCTCTACATTAGTCTGAGACATGAAAAATGTTTGTCACATGGTGAACTGTCTTTAATATCCAATTCCGATTCATCAAGAGTGATTGACCATAAACTCAAAGTAGTGGTTATTAATCTTACTTGTGTTCTTAACATAATAATGCGTTGAGGCTGTGAAGTAATAAGAATAATGACAATATCAATAATTAATAATGTTAAAACTTTTCTGATGTTTCCAATCAGTTTCTTGCCTTCGAATGTTTGATATGAAGCATTACCTTATTTCTTCCTAAAATTTCGAATTATAAACAATTCAAGTTTTCATTAAGCTTTTCTTGATTAGACTCTATTTTCGATTTAGTTTGATTTTTCGAACAAAAATGTAGCATTGCCAGAACCCACCCGACTTCAATACTATTTCAGCTATTAATATTCATTCTATATCTCTCTAAACAATACACTTATCAAGTCCACAGGTTATATGTAGTACAGCGTGCTATATATTTCATAAATTTATGTTTCCTTTCTATTTCTTGTAAACATGAAATACTGGTAAAAAGACAAAGCTTAAATCGAATACATCTGAAAAACTATTCTCAACTTGCAACTCGTTTTCGACATAAGACTACTGGCATAAATTATTTTTTGTGCGTTCTCATTTTACTTCCATCAATCATCACTCCCAGAAGTTTTCTAGAATTTAGATTGGTTATATGAAACTACACATTATTTATTTAAAAACAAGGCTTATTTTTATATTACAAACTTTATATTACATACGTACACATACGTGCTATTTGATCAGTAAGTTTGTGTCAAAATAGTATCACAATTTTTATATTTGAGTAAGAGGGCATGATTCAAATTGATTTCAGCAACATGATCTAATACGAAGCTTTTTATGGTTTCCAGAACCGAATCAAAGTCGCAATGACATAAAACATGTACATTTTAAAGAATAATGCAATACATATAAGTATATCGAGGTTTGAAAGAACATTCGAAAGTTTATTTCACCTTGTTCAACACGCTTTTTCCAATGCTAAAGTGATGATACGGAAACAAAAAGATAAATTTTCTTTCTGCTTTATCCATTATTTTGTAATTTTCAGTACCTCATATTTATGGAACGAAATTTGAGCAACAAAATGCAATATACTAACTAATCATTCTGCCTTAATTTGCTTCAGTTTCTCACTTTTCAAGTTTCTTCGATTTCTTTTTCTAGAAAACGTTTCCAACGGGTAGACTGAAAAACATACTATATCATTCGGACTAAATTTCTGTACAACACTGATTTGCAGTGTAGCCATTAACATCTTCATTACATCATCCATACGTCCATTAATTATCATATCAGCTTTTTCATCCTGAAATGGGAGTAATGATAAGACATATTCTGATTTTTCTAGGAGATTTGCTTTGATAACTATAGAGAGATCTTATTTTTGATTTGAGAAGTGCACTTAAAAATGAAATTCTGAACATTCTCATTAACACACGTACTCATAACAAATCACTGATTTTAATGTAAGCACTTCCTTGCTTGTAAGAACTATTAATCAGAAATCGCTTCCTGTTCTTCCATTAAAATGTACATTTTAAAAAATGAAGGAAATATTATCTAAAAGTTACATCAACTCGTATAAATTTTGAGATTAAAACTTACATGTTTCGTTTTAGAAAGGTTTACAATCACGAGCTTCCCACCATTTTTTTTAACTAAAAGTGGTAGGTCGCCAGCAGGAATTATCTGAAGTGTTGTACCCATACAAACACTGAGATCTGCATTCCTGAAATTAACGAAAACGAAATAAAGTGCTCATAAATAAAAACGCAACATTTTTAGATGAGCAATTATAGCTCATTCCAAACATATGTATCCTTTTTTAAAGCATCAGCATTTTAACCAACCTAGCATATTTATTGGCTTGAGAGATATCTTCGGTCGGCAATGGATCCTCCCAATCTAAACAACCATCATGTAAAATCCCACGGCATGGCCGTCCATCGTAAGTACCTTCACAACTCTTCCCTGTTGGTCGCAATCCAATGCTCTCCACCGGTGTAGTCCGATAATATTTTCTTAAATTATATAATATAAACTAGGAAATCAGCATTTTTTTCGGTCAATGGTTGGAAAACTTGAAGAACGTAAAAAATCTACTAACATCTTCAAATAAAACTACATATCGACAGAAACGAGTTATGTTAACCTGCGACATTTGCTACACTTTTCCAAAAAAACATTTCCGTGAACTTCAGCAATACGATTTAGTGGATATCCTGAACGAATATGCAAACCATCAACATTTTGAGTGATCACAAACCTAGGAGTACAAATCTTTATCACGAATAGTAAATAATGACAGAGAAAGCATACTAACTTAGTTTACAACGAACTAGAAACAACAACTCTTAATAATAGCAGAGTAGAAGTAACTTTCAAGTAATTATCGAAACCTTATAAATTTACTGATTCGGATCTAGAAATGCAGGAATTTCAAATAATTCAGGACAAAATTTGCTAGAGTAGAAAAAATTGCACCCTACTTTATTTGAAGTGTAAATAATAACACAAGTTTACATCAATAAAATGTAAACTTTGATCTGCAACGTTTCGCGGAAAATAAAGCAAAAACAATGAGTTACTAACTTGACAATATTTTTTCGTTCCAAAGCATTGATTGCAAAATGAGTGTAAGTGGGTACTGCTTCAGTAAAACTAACTCCTTCCTGAACTGACTGATTGCGCGCTTGCAAAGTCCACAATCCGTTTGGTCCACGAAAATCTGGAATACCAGCTGCAGTGCTAATACCAGCTCCTGTATGAAGTACACAACAATCACTTGCCAATAACATTTTTGCTAGCTGATCCACTTTCTGTTGCAATTCACAGCACTCATCACTAACCTATATTTTTTTCTCAAATATTAAAAATATATTTAGTCAGTAATATGCCAACTTTCAAGTAAAAAATGATCAGCAAACAAATCCAATTCATAACTCAGCTTCAGATATTTCCATTAACATAGAAAAATCAAAAATATTAGTTTACATGCAACAAAAATTTTTTTCTCTGATTATTAAAAATATTGACCAGTTTCAGAATAAGACAATGAAATATTTCTGTTTCAAAGCTAAGTTTTGTAAAAATCTATTTCTCGACACCAGAACAATCACGTATGCTTAGTACACCAGCATCTGCATCACTACAATTTACTCCGGATCTTATTCTGGAAGGCGATTCTTGAAATGATATAGAGTATACACTCCATTACTTCTGGGCTATACTTAAACTCATGCGTTTTTATAAATTAAGTATCACAGGAAACTGAATTCATACCAAAACTTAACACAGTCTTTGCTACCAATGTCATAGAATAAGAAAGGATTATCCACTCACTATTAAGCCAAAAATGAAAGTAATTTGATAAATAATAAAATTCAAACCTCAGGCAATCCCAATACACCCTTATTCTCGTAGGGTGACAATGCTTGCGCATAACTGAATGCCATCACACCAACGACTCAAATCACCTTCACACACTGAATTAGCTCATTTTTTCATACTAGTTCAAAAATTCAACTGTAACAAATTGCTACCTATTAATGTACCGTGAAATACCAAAAGGTGCTGTCAATAAAAGATTCTTTATGCAGAATGATCAGACCAAATCAAACGTTAGTTCTATAATGAACTCTATCAATGTACGTGAAGCAAATCACTACTAATTTTATTATGAGTGCAAGGGATGTTTGCGGCAGAAAATCTGTGCTAATTTGTTTATTTCATGGTAGCAATCATTACTGTTCAACTCCAAGAAGCACAATTTTTTATGTGCGCTCAAATATTCCTCGTGTTTATGTACGGTCAGGTATGCAATTTTTAGCATGCAATAAATAAGGTGCGTGGTATATTTTGGTAATAATATTGTGAAATGAAGTAATGACTACGTCATTCTAAACTATTCATAAATTTGTAAATTCATGCAGTCTTACAACTCTGCCCTGAACTTATCTTGCTTTTACAGAACATCCATCTTTCGATTACTTATTGCAAAACCTGCTCCCGAAGTGATATGACCATACTTGAATAATAAGGCAACTTGCAAGTTGGAATCATTTGATGTGGGATGTTACAGTTTTCATTTCGAGATTAACAAAATAGTGTAGACCAACCAATCACTTCTAATAGCAGTTGATATTTGCTTAGGCCACGTCATTGTCGCCCAGCGAGGGTTTTCTGGGTGGTAACCTTTGACGGTGGTTTGGTAAGGTTTATTTGGTCGTGGCGTTTTTCACGTTATTCTTGTGTGACTATTGGTCGGTGATGTAACTATGTTTATTGTATAAGATTAAAACCATTATTTGGTTGTGCTTTAGTAAAGTATAGCATTTAGAGGAGTTAAAACATTCAAGTGACATGTGGATGCACAAAAGAACGCTAACATTATTATTGAAATAAGTTAATGCAAGTTTTTTATTGAAAACAGTTTTAAAGTCATTTTGGTATCGGATGTGGTCAGAAGATTGTGTAGTTATAAATAGTGAAGTATTTGTTTTCTTCCATTAAGAGTCTGAACATTTAAAGTTGAAAAATCAATGCACATTCAATTCGTAGCTATCTGTCCTAATCACAATGTACCGTTTATTTCAATAGAAACATTTTAAGGTACTGTGGAATTAGTTTTTCACTACACATTGCTTTATTCTTTAAGGGAATATCACAGACAGACAAAACTGATTGATTGCTTAAGATTTCCTTTACGATTCGATTTAGTCAGCGGGGCAGTTTTTGCGAAAAGTCGTGTTGGTAAAATTTCTCTTAAAAACTGCAGCCTACAAATTAAAATTTTATTCTGCTCAAAATTTTAAGGTTGCTATTTCTTGATAAACATCAAGCCGATTGCTGGTATCCATTTAGTGAATAGTGTTTTTTATGGCAAAAAATATGGATGCCGACATAGATGTGACATCTATGACAGATGATGCTATGCTGAATCCTTATAAAGTTTCGCTTGGTGGTGATAAAGATGTCGACAAAGAGGTCATTACTGTTTTTCTGCGAATTCATAGGCGTAAAATTCTGAGATAGATTTTTTCATAGTTAAGTGGAAAAAGGACCAGCACCATAAAGTAAGAGAGGACATAGTGGAATAGGCAACATTTCGCGCTGATTCGATTACCAATTTGTGACAGTATAATTTCATGATCACCTAAAAAAGAGTTCTCGGAAATTACAAAATAAATCTTCGAGTATAGGTTTATCTATAGATATATTTAGTTTTCATTGCATTATTTTTATAGGTTTATTTAAGTAAGCTTACGGGAAGTAAACTTACTCAGCCAATCGAAGAACAAGTGTACGATGGAGAAGGTGTTGATGATGAAGATCAGAATGAAAGTTTTGAAAGCAGTGAAGGGAATTCGTGTAGTGGAAAGCAGTCCAGGAAGTAATAATTATTTCTATGATAATATTTTTGGCGAGTATAGGTTTATTTCTTTGTCAAGAATTTTTCTACATTGTTAGAAATTGCAATTATCTAGAATGGCAATCAACTATTTTGTGGATATAATATTACTTAAAGTATTAGTTTTTATTAGTTTCCATGTAATCTGTAAATGGTTAATTTTTTAGACTGTTTTTAAGAATGATATTTAATGCTTTTTTGATGAGAATTTCTTAAATAAGGACTTAGTTTCTAGACTTAGTTTGGTGCTCGCAATTTTTAAAATGCAGGAATCCATCGCTGTGGCAAAAACCGGAAGTGCGACGTATCATTGAGGATTTTATTAATAAGGATATAACTTCAAGAGGTGCTGCTAACAAGATTTCAGATATTATGGGTAGAAACGTTTCACATTCCACAGTTCTCACTTACGCTAATAGATTTCTACGAGTATGTTTTTTCAATTTTTGAGGGGCAATTTAATAATTTTTCGGTAACAGTCGTTCAGTTTGGAAGTTTGTGTCAGATATTGTTGAAGTATAATATGATTTTTGTCATCGGAGGTTTATAAAAAAGCACGTTGTATGATTCAGACTGTCATTCAAACAACCATAGCAGAATCTTGTTTGTTGTCGTGTGCTACATATTATTTTTCTGAAAAAAAATTTCAATATAATATTTATGGTTTAATAAATTTGAAGAATCTTTGAAAGTGAAAATTCTAAATAAAGTTGATAAATGTTATTGAGGCTTTGTTGAGAACAAAAATAGATGATTCTTTTTTTTTCGCACGGAGTAAAACGTGAAGATGATGGTGACGAATCGTCGTCCTATCAGGTTGTCGAACTAGAAGATTCGCCAGCGCCGACTGACGAGGTTGGATTTGATGTTCATTTTGAACTTGTGAAAACAAGTCGCGGTAACGATAATGGTCTAGCAGTATATGAAGATAATAATTTCGTTCGTGTTTATCGACGAACTAGCTCTACGGGTCGAAGTGCATCATATCGTTGTTCCACTTGTGATCATCTTTATGAAAAACTTGGTCAAGGCGAACGACCAACCATCAAGATGCGTGACAATGTCATCATAACGGAACCGTTTCCTACCCATAATGCATTGTGTAGTCCAGCACCATTGGATGTTTTTCGTAAAAATCAAGAAGACTTGGAGGCACGACAATTAAACATATGTAGACGTGTGTTAAGTAATGTAAGTTCTTATTGATAAAAAAGTTCAGTCTTTTGTTGTGACTATTTGTAGGGTTTGAACTCGATATCCATTGCTTCATGAATTTTGTATTATAGCAGAATTAAACTTATAGTGGAGAATCGTAGAATTACTGGGGTTAATTGAGAGAAAGGTTTCAGTCCCGGTTCAAGGAAATGAGATGGGGAAGGCACTACGATCCTATTGGTTATGTTATAAAACCAATTAATGAGGAAGAAGAAGCTATAAATAAATGCATTGAAAGGTTATAAAATAAATTTACGGTTTAATTGGAATCTTTTTTTTAAAAAATCGCGTTGCCGCAAAATATATGTATCCATTTATATTGTTATAGATGAGTGTGTTTGGCTTATTTTATTTAATAGAGGGAATAATTTTGTTTGCAGCCTCTTAACAAGATGTGGTGGTACTGCAGATATGGAAGATGAAGATAAAGAGGCGTAAGTTGTAAACTATGAAGTAACTGACTTTTAGAATCGAGCTTAATGCATCCAAACATTAGAAAGGGAAAATCAATTCCAGGGTGTTAAGAGATCTGATTGAGGGCTACAAACGTGGAGAAGTTTCTAGTTTAACGGAGCTTGCAAAACTGATCAAAGAAAATTTGGATATTGATGTTTCTAGTCCAACACTCTGTCGATATCTGAAGAAACAGGTTTTGTTTTTGTTTTATAATTTTTCATCAGCTATTGGACTTGTAAAGTGTGTCAGGTTTTTTATTTTTCTGTTAGGTTCATATATATTTTTAACATTGTATGTAATTATCGTGGCAATGGGATTTTTCGTCTCTGTTTTAGAACGAAGATAAAGCTCAACTGTCAGTGGAACCGGAAGAAAGGTATAATTTACCTTCATATATTGCTTCAAGTAGCTCAGCTAGATATGAAATGATAACTTCTAATTTTTTTGTTATACAAATGCTTAATTTGAAACAGAGATTCACAAATTTCAGTGAAAGCGTATTGATAGCTCGTCCCGGACTGTCGAAATACTTGAACGAAACACTTATTACAGTGCCTGAAAATGAGGGGTTTCGGCAGTATTCTTTCATGAAAAGATCATCGGATGGTGTTCGCTCATA